AAACATGCAAATCCAGAAAAAAAAGCATAAGTGAACTCCGTTTATGCGGCTGTGGTAATAAGAAGCCGAATACGGATTCAATTGGATAAGTTTACATCAAACAATCGTTCATGCAGACAGACATGAGAATACCAGACGTTAAAGCAGAGCGCGGCAGTTAAGAAGCTGAGTGAGCCAACTCAATGCTGCAATATGAGACGACTGATCATCTTTTACAGTCAAACCAAATAAGCTAGACATGTAGTAAGCTAAGTAAGTGGCTGAGACACACACTCAAATAAATACAACCCAGATAATAACTCAAGAAGAATGGATTGATTAAACTGTCCAGAGGCTGTGGGACAAGCTCCATGTGTTCAATACAAAAGTAAACGCACTGAAGTTTCATCATGAATCGATCTTTGTTAGGCCACCAGTAAGAATCTAGAAGCACTGGACGACCATTTTATCCTAGTATGATTCTCATCAGTACACAGTGAACCTATGCTCATAATTAACTAATTTTGTAGGGAGAATCTCAGAGTTCTACTGAGAAACCCTAACCAGAAGAGTACAACCCTGTCGGGTGAAGACAGCTACATACCGAAGACATTGAATGACGTTGTGCAATAGCTTAGATTGATTACACCAGCTCAGTGGTCTAGAATTTAGGCGTTCACGCGAACAAGGGCCGTGGATGCGCTGTGCCACTGAGTCCTATACTTAACAACCGAGTTTCACTAATCACCGCTTCTCACTAGAACTCCGAGAATATCCTCTCAAAAAGCTAATCACCAGTGAGCATATGTTATGACACTCATATTAGAATGAAATAGCCTCTCAATGCTTTCAATTAGTCTACTATTGATCTAACAGTGATCGAATATTGTTTTCTACGACACTATACTAGTAAATGCAATAACAACATTTTACAAATATTCAATTAATTAAAACACAGATCTTAATAGAAGTAAACAGAAAACTATCAAGTGAATTGTCATTTGAACATTGACACATGTAATGTCACCTTTTCTTTTTCTCTCTATGATTCTAATATCATGCATATTGTTGTTGAAAATCTTTTTCTTCCCCGATTCAATTAACGTGATTCAATTGTTGGTGTATTGATTTTCGGTTTTTCTGGCTGATCTAAAACACGCCGCTGTAAGCTAACTCAACACAAACACTTGACTGTGGTCAAACACACATTTCAATTCTGTCATTGTTGACTGCAAAAGGGAAAAGAAGACTGAAGATTGTGTACAGAACATTTGTAGTATTGATCTGTTTGAAGTGATCAACTTTACTTTGCTTATTCCTATAACCTCGAAATGAAGCATTGGCTGTCAAACAGTATTCTTTTCAACCTACTCTAACCTGAGCCTTCCTTTCCAATTCTAACCAACAGCTATTCTTGGACTGATCTAGCTTCAGTTTTAGAAATAGTAACGTTACTTAGCGTTCGGGACGTTAGATCCCCAGAACTCACTTGAAAAAGATCCTAATTTTGTAATTTTTCTCCGAAATTTTCGTGCCAAGAGACGCTTAGTTGACCTACAGATTACACTTACCACTCGGAAATCCTTGACTTTCATTGGTTGATGGATTAATTTAGTACGGTATTTTCTGGCTCTCATCTACGGCATATCTATGATTGTATAAATAAGCTTGGTTTGTGTGCCCGTCAACCTCATAATATCTGGGTGCTTTTCAAATGCATTCTCTACTCCTTATCAAGACTTCTTGATCTAGCTAACCGCGGCCCGGGAAAAACGAATCGATCAATGTTAAGCCACCATTAGAAAGCTGGAAGCACTGGACGGCCGTTTCGTCCTGGTACGGAACCCATCAGCAGTGCGCATCCACGATTCTTGCACCTCGCATGATTTGAACCCAGAACGTCCGGTCTTACGCGTGGACGCCCTACTTCTGGACCACTGAGCCGGCAACTAACGGTGTTAATGTCTAACTCCGGTCAATTTACGGTCTCGTGCAACCTCATACACTGTCTTTTGCAGTTACTGTCTACACCCGAACAGGTTGAACTTCACTAGTCACGACTTGTCACTAGAACTTGGAGAAGATTCCTCACGGAGCTAAGCACTCGTCAACTCGGGTACTTGCATTACGGGGTTGTGAAGATTGTCAAGTTACTGATTTAAATCATCAATCAATCATTTTTAGATCACCATTAGAAACCTGACAGCACTAAACTGCCGTTTCGTCCTTGTATGGGACTCATCAGTAGTGCGCATTCATAATTATCGCACATAAACCAAACACATTCTCATACTGAATTTATTGAAATCAATAAAGACTGTTGATTCTGACAGGTGACATGAATATTTCATGAATTCAATAATTGAATTCAATAATTCAAAACTTTGGAAAGCCTTATTAGTTACTTCGATATGTTAGATAATAATTTGCTGAAAATGTTGTTAAATTTCTATTCAGAAATTCTTATTGATTGGCCCCTAGATAGTTTCATTGAGACCAAACAATTTTCTATGCCAACTTTACTTATAATTACTGCGTTTTAACACAAACGTTATTAATTGGCGCATGTTTGTTTACTTAGTAAATAATTGTTGATCATTATCAAAAATCAAATGAGTAAAGCTCAGTAATTGTCCATATGGAGCTGTGAAGATTGTTGTTGTACATTGAAATGATGAACAAATCATAGTTTGATTGCCATTACAAAGCTGGGAGTACTGGACTGTCCTTTTGTCCTAATTCGAGACTCATCGGCGGGAGTACACATCGACGATCGTTGCTTACAGGAATGGGACTCAGGACCTCCGGTTTCGTACGCAAACGCCTTACCTCTGGACCAATGACTTGGTGTCTAGAGGTTTTAATTTTTAACCGAGAGTCACGGGTTCGAACCGTGCGAGTAGCGACAGTCGTGGATGCTCATTGTTGATGAACCCCTCACTAGGATGAAACGGCCGCTCAGTGCTTTCATGTTTCTAATCATAGTCTAACATTGATCGATTCATAATTTCAAAAAGTAACTCAACAATTTCTACAGCTCTATCGAGCAAGCTAATAATTATTTCAATCAAGACGATTCAATGTTCAAACTCGGCTGTAATCAGTTTGCGCGCCAAATTTGAATTCGGCGATATAACAACATTTAACACTAACATAATACTACCGTTATTTGTCCGATTGACAGTATAGAAAATATCAAACATGTTAAATATCCGGATTAGTCAGAACAGTCAACTGTGTGTGTTTGTTCCGATGAGGTTTCTCAACCAGTTCAAATCTGAGCGCTCATAACGATTTCGAAATCATCTTAAGTGGGGACTCTGACATTTAACTGAGGAGCAACATCGTCGTAAATGTCTAGTCCTGGATCGGCAAAGAGAAAACAACCTTTCTACAACTGAAGAACATCTAGCAGTCACAAGAAACAATCTGTCGACCGACAGCAAAGTCGGAATTTCGAATCAGTGTCAAGATAGTTCTGATGTATGAAGAAGGAACTCGGAGAACTGCAAGAGCCAACAATTCAAAAGATACTGGCATGTATAAACAACTGTCTACGTAAGCCTTTTTGGATATAATGACCAGACACTGCAGAGAAAAAACTAGCTTTCGGTTAAGGAAGAAATTTGGAAAAATCACTGGAAGTGGATGGGGGAAAAGTCACGAGATCATTCTAATGCATCAAGAAACAACCGCTGGAATTGGAATTTTAGGCAGATATCAATGGAATGATTATTACTTGGGAAGAACTTCAGAGACGAGTTGATTGATAACCTGTGCTTAACAATGGGTAACTGGCGTAATTGTATGAATTGTCTCTCCACTGAAGTTGTTTACAGTTTAAACGATATTTCATTCCAACACGTTGAAAATACCTGTTTTATAAGCCATATACATCTGCTATTGGTCAAGTCTCAACATGTGAAATCCGTTATGATGAGCGCTGTCCGAGATCTGAACATCAATGCGCGCCAACTCGTCAAACTGACTATTTATGCAATAAGACAAGATCACTCCTAAGAAATATAAGCCATTTCTTGGCCAATGGTATGTATTCATTCTTATGAGACATTTTCTGAAGGTCATCCATCAAACGACCCTCTCATTTGGCCACTTCTGATTGGCTCACTAAATAGAAATCATCTGGATGAGACTTGAAATCAATTTTGATATGTTAATAATAACACTTCAGTCTGTAAAATGTTAACTAACTTACACTTGGTTAAGTTTTACGAAATTTACAGTGTTTATTCATTTTTTTAAACTGTACTATGAAAAAATCAATACGAAAATTTCACTTGAAATGACTTAGACTACTTCGTTGTTGATATTTTGACTGAAATTCAAACATTCTTGACTGGTATTTGAACATTTCCAGTCGGATTGCCTCTGTTGCTCAAGGCATTATATATTCGAACTCAGTAGTTAAGTGAATAACACAATTGTAGTTAGAGTGAACAGTAATAGGTCAAAGTCTCAGAGTGAACATCATTTCTGAAATGAGACAGGTACATCCAGCTATAGACGGGTCTCAAGTAGGACAAAATGCGCTTCCTGCATCCCACTGATTACCACACATTCTATCTGTTGGGGATGTTAGATCCTCAGAACTAGCTTGATAAATGCCTTAATTTTGGATTTTATTCATAGGCTGATCAGTTGACCTTGAGATTACATTTCCCACCAGGAAAATCATTGGCTGTGATTGGTTGATGTGTTATTTTAGTGTGCTATTTTTGCGACTCTCCCAAGGATGTTTCTATCATGTATAAATAAACGCGATTTGTGTGCTTGAGATCACTGTGCTAGCTGGGTATTTGTAGAATACACTTTCTACGCTATATCAAGACTTTTTCGTCAGTTCCTTCGTGGCAACAGATCAGAGTAGCCTACCGTGTCACTGGTTCATTGTGTCATTCTCGTTGATTGACTAAAGTGAACTTGTCATCGTTTCAAGCATATCAATCTGACGAGCATCATGTAAAAGATTAACTTCTCAGAAAAACATGAATATATTATATTCAATGATAAATTTTATTTTCACTCATTAACCAAAAAAAAACATATATTAACCAGTCAATAATTGATTAAAATGATAATCGCTAATAATGCCATTTTTAAAAAATTGTGAAATTTAAAATGTTTACAGTAAAGTGTACAATGTTCAGTGTTCAAATGAAACTGAAAACACAACATTAGTAAACATTCATGAAAGTAACGTCTTATTGTTATGCAATCACTGAGTGTTACTACTACATTAAATTGTGTTATATATAAATTTACTAAACGAATTAATCCATTGATTCTGTATCAATCAATCTACAAAGTGATTAAAATAAAACATTCAAAATTCAATTGTGAAATTTTGTTTAAATCAATCAATCAATCAATCACTTCACTATTGATCATTAGGTTTTATTATTATTGTCAATTGACTTGAATATTAACACAACATCATATCTAAAACAATTAGTCCCTTTTTATAAATTTTGATAGAACGGTGAGAAGACGTAATTGATCGGAAAAATAGTGTGATATGTATTTGCGCCTCATACATTTCGAACAATCTGGTCACACATATCACACTTGTCAAGGCATTTTATATATGAAGATGAATAGAAGGTCAATTAAATAAAAGTTCAAATAGACATAGGGTGATAATTGTAAATACGAAAAGAATAAGAAGGGGTAGGAAAATTGTCACATTACCCTAGGCTTAAAGATTGCCAAGGTAAATTCAAGGTTATGACAAATTGTTTCTGCACACATAAGGGGAGTTTTAATTTTCTAATAGCCAAGGCCTCCATAAACCTCAAAATTCGTCCTTCAACATTTCTATACAATGTTTTGAAGGCTGTCTTGATGTCAATCTTATTGCCCTGTCTCAATTATGTGTTTTGCGATCGATGAACATGGTTTTCTATTTCCAACGTTAATCGGCTCATCTGACGTTAACTGATTTTGAAGCCACTTAGGTACATGTTCCACAACCCTTGATTGCAAAGTCCGATTACTCCTCCTATGTATGTGTGTCCTCAAAAACATGCAATGGGATGTGATGTATTCATCATTCGAGCAACGTTTAGGTATATGCGAAATCATGGACTTGGTCTTTTCAATGATAATCAGTTTAGCAGAGTTGTATGTTTTCTCTATGGCTGCTTTTAGTCTCTGTCTTATTATTAGACCATTTGCTTCACCTCTAAATGGTAAAGTGATGTAAACCTTTTTCTTCTCAGCAGAATGAAAAACTTGCTTTTGTCTACACCTATTGATGAACTTTAGCGGATAGCCATTTAAAATCAATGCTTCAGTTAAGAATTTTGCATCGTCGTCAAATGTATCCGTGGTGCAAATCCTTTGAGCCCTATTGAAGAGGCATTTTACCAAACCTCGTTTATATTGCAGTGGACAAAAACTGCTGAAATTTAGATACTGTCCAGTCCACGTTGGCTTTCTATAAACAGAACGCTTTATAGTTCCATTCTCTCTTCGGCTCAACAGTATGTCTAAAAAAGGCAATCGATTATTAATTTCTGGTTCATGGGTTAATACAATGTCATTCTGAAGGCTATTGAAGTTTTCCAGTAACTGAGAGACGTTAAGTTTTTTATCACATATAATTAAAATATCATCCATATATCTCCTATAGAGAGTAAGCTTATTAATGTGCTCATTCCACAAATTTTCAGCAAATGCCATATAAAAATCAGCTAAGAGAAGTCCCAAAGGACTACCCATAGCAACGCCATCAATTTGCTGGAAATGTTCATCATCAAACGTGAAATGAACTTTCTCAGTACATAATAAAATTAATTCTCTTAGTAGACTTGACTGAATGGGAAAAAGAGGGAAATTATTTAATATATAGTCACAAAGAAAGTTAACAGTTTTCATTAGGGGAACATTGGTAAGAAGGGAGTTTACATTAAAAAGAAAAATGCCTTGACAAGTAAATATGTGTGACCAGATTGTTCGAAATGTCTAGCGCAAATACATCACATTTTTCAAATCAATTACTTCTTCTCACTGTTCTATCAACAAAACATATCTGTTAAATTATGTTATATTGAGAGTTTCATGATCTAGGATCTCACCAGGTTAGCTATTATCAAGTGATGACCTTTAGCTTTCAACGGTACACTAAATACAATCAGTCAGTTATAAAATTGAATTTATAACTTAAATTAACCTCTAAATAACTATTTGTGGTGCACGCTACTTATAAGTAGTATATGACGCGAGTGTAAACGTAATGTCTGGCAGCAGAAGATGGGGGGGGTGGAAGATCAAGAAAAGAAGAAGAGTGGGAACACAATATGGAATTTGTATGAAACGCATGAACAGTGGTGAAATGTCAGACAATAGAGATGATGAATTGGATTGAAGATTTGCAAATTTCACCGTTTACAATATGGTTTTCCTATTTTACTAAGTAACTCTGTAATTTTCGTTAAATACAATTCACTACATTGAATCTAATAGAAGAAACACACTACATGATATACTACAAATAATGTACTTTTAAATTTTATTGCGCTTACAAGTTTTTTTTTATCAAAACACTTTTTAAAAAAAGAAGAGATTCTCATGGAAATGTAGTGAAAATGAACTCAACAAAGAAACCAGTGTTCATTATCAATCAATATACATGATGAGATGATGAGTTTTTGTTTGAACCATCTACCACTTAGTATTGATTCTCAGAATATAAATTAGTGAGGTCAAATTAGTTAAAATGTGGTCCGATGGTAAGGCGTTCGCCTACAATGCCAAAGGTCCCGGGTTCGAATCCTGCGAGGAGCAGGAGTCGTGAATGCGCACTGCTGATGAATCCCATACCAGGACGAAACGGCCGTCCAGTGCTTCCAGGTTTCTAATGGTGGTCTAACAATGATGATTGATTAATGATTTCAAATGTGTAGTAAGAATCTGTTTGCAGTATGAGGTTTCGATAATGTAAGATTTGGATCTAGGATAGAATTTCATAAGATTAAGCTTTTGGTGAGATTTATTGTTTTTAGCGCCAAGTTCATCTTATTTAGGTAAACACATAAACACTGATACAACGAGGTACCTAAATATTTATGTTTCATACAAGTTATTGAATATTTGAATGGGGTAGGATACCGCTTGGATGCTCAGATCAAAGCCGGTGATTTTCATTGACCTTTTGACTTAAAGGTCAAATCTACCAAACAATGGAGCTGTAGTGCCTTCGCTTACATTTAATTTGGTTAAACCCTTTCGATCAATTTATTTAACCAAGCCAATTTGTATTGCAACAATCTATGTGTACCATTCGTTCTTATTATTATTATCTGGTTTGTATGAGCTCACATGACGTGTTCCACTTGTCATTTGACCTTGTCAACTATTCGTCGCTTTTATTCATGTGTGTGCACGCCTATTTCGCTTGTCATATATCTGTCTTATTTTTGGTCTGACTATATATGTTCTTAGTCATGTTCTATCTCTTGGAGTTGGCTCAACAGCCTTCTCCAATTCACGTCGCTTCATCCCTTTTATTCGCTTTGTGGTGTGTCCCAAATAAACATATTCGACACTTCGAGTTCACCTGATTTATAAACCGTCAGACGCTATTTAGTAACGATTGTCTGGACGAGCTAATCACGAACATTAAGAATACGCAGTAAATAGACACACTACAGAGCAATATTGGGATATATAGTCCTATGATAACTGGTCACCAACGATATGTCTATATGCCGTTTGTTCGTTCAAGATCGTACAGTTCAGTTACATCATTTGTTTAGAACAGAGATTATCTAACTCTCAGATATGGATCTTCCGTATCCAATAGCAGACATTCACTTTGTATCTTCTCAACTTCGTAAATAAAACTTTGGTTTAGAGATGATAGTGAACAGAACTTCCCTATCAGTGGTTATATATGGTGGAGTTTCGTTGCCTGAGCTGGATGTAGTTTGGTTGTGGAGCTTTCATTGCTGTTCTTCTGAACCCCTCTACATTTGACTCGCAGCTTGTCAAGCGTGACTGGTCTTTATTGACGTTTATCCTTTCAGTATCAGCTACTTTAGTCTGCTTGTGTCCCGCTTTGGTTTGGTTCTTGATCTTATGCTTAACACTGATCCAATTAATCAATCAATCAAAAAGAGATCATAGACAAGAATATGATCAGGAACCAAATCAAAGTGGGATACAATCAAAATTAAGATGTAGATATCGACAGGTTTAAGGTCAGCAATAGCCAATCAAATTTGAGGTCAACAGGACAAGCCGAGAGTCATATATAGAGAAATTCGAATACTTCACTTCAGCCTTAATGTTTATGCTGGTGATGTTGTTATGAAAGCTCCATAACCAAACCACATCCAGCTCATAGAACGAAACTCCACCGTAATCATCCAACTGAGCTATATATATATTTTACCGATCATCTCAAAATCATACGAAGATGGTTCTATACTCGTAACCGTATTATAACATCATTAGAGAGAGATAGCGAACTGTCTCACATTGTCAACTGTACCTGGGACATTTGAGAACTCAGTTTAGCGTAATTCTAAACTGATCACTTAAATGTTTTTTTGAAAAATCTAGCATCAATGTACACATAACCAATTGTTGGGGATGTTAGATCCTCAGAACTAGCTTGATAAATGCCTTATTTTGGATTTCACGCCTGCCAGCATGGGCTGATCAGTTGACCTTGGGATCACAATTACCACCAGGAAGATCCATGGCTGTGATTGGCTGCTGTGTATTTTAGTGTGCTATTTTCGTAACTGTCCCAAGGACGTTTCTATGATGTATAAATAAACGAGAGTTGTATGCCTGATTGTATTGTGATTGCTGGGTGTTTGTAGAATATACTTTCTACGCTTATCAAGACTTCTCTTTTGCAGGTTGAGATTCAAGGTAGCCTACCTGGGACGCTCGTTCATTGTCTCGTTAGCGTTTATCGTCTAAGGTGAACTCGTAATAGCTTCAAGCGTAGTTAGTGACGAACCCTACACCAATTCACAGTGCCAAAATATATCAATTCAGCTAAACAATCAAATCCATATTTATGCAACAAATGAAAAGTGTTATATCTATTATGTAACAATAAGACAGGCTATAAATAGAAGCTTCTAGTACAATTCATCTTAAGATTACAATCCTGAAACACACTGAACAATTTACAGCATAAATTTATCTGAATTTGTTTACCTCAATATTGTTGATTTGTATAGTGGTCATCTAAAAATCAGTTGTTATATTCTGCGGTTTATCCTCAGTTTGTAATTGAATGGTTGTTGCTGTTGTTGTAGTGTTCAATAAATTTTGATCAATATTCAATAATGAAGATTGATTCAATTGTTGCGCAACCTCCTCGGCAATATCACCATCAGTGACTATTTTCTCATCAATTGCCAACTGTTGCTTTAAGCTGTTGAGATCATGAAATTCCATGCCAGTGAAACTTGTACTATGTGTTTTTTTATTTAAATCACCGTCATATATGTCAGTAGGTAGGTGATTTTCATCATGAATCTCGGAAAATTCAATGTTCGTTAAATTGCTTTCGCCAATTTCATTTGTATTCCATAATTTATGGAAGTAATTAGGATCAGTGTGAGATTGATCATTATCAGTAATGACTGATGAGTGATTTGTACTCTCATTTATCCATTGTGTATGGATTGGTGAATTCTCTTCACTGATATTGATCTTATGTGTAAGGTGATCTTAAAGATGGAAACATCAAAAAAAACCAAGCATCAGTGTGCGTGTGTGTGTGGTAAAACATGAAATTATCATCTCGGTTATTTTATTTTTTAATTGTGATTTAGAGAGAGTATTGATCATTGTTAGACCACTGCTATTAGGGACCTGGATGTATTGAACAATTGTGTCGTCCTAGTTTGGGGCGCATCAGTAGTGCGCATCAACTGGTCGATTTTTGGAGTTCGAGTGAGAAGCTGTGTCAAATGTAGACAGTTATCTACCGAAGACAATAAGTGAGGTTGCGCAATACCTCGGATTGATCAAAGTTACACATTAAAACACTACTGGATATCAGTGTTCACGAGCGATATCGAAGGTCTTGGGCTTGATTTCGGCTAATGGAGGTCGTTGTTGCAAACAGTTAGTGAGTCAAATACTAGGACAAGGTTTTCAAATCCGTGATCTAACAATGATCCACTCATAATTTCAATGAAACTCTTCATTCACTCACTTTGTATGAAATAATTTTCTTAATCTTTCGTCGGTTTATCATTTACAGTTTCCTTTCATATTGCTAGGATATTCATCTAATATCCTATGAGGATTATTTGTAAGTCTAATTCTACTAGTCAATTCCTATTGGTCGTCCTAAGTATTAAGGTCACATACTCTAAATGTTATTTCCTATTGGTCGTAATAAACGTCAATGTCACAGACTTCAATGTTGTTTGCTATTCGACCTAAATGCATAAATACGCACTATCTGTAACGTTTTAGGACCGGTATCGGGATCCCTAGTGTGGGATCCTGCTTCTTTTCTGGACACGGACCTCGTACTTTCTGGATGCTTGTAGAATGCATGTTCTACTTCATATCATCTCTTCTTATTTTATACTCATGATGGGGGTTGAAATAATCGGATTAGAGTAGTCTGTCGTGTCGCCTGATCCTCAATCTTCGCTCTCGTTTTCCAACTAAGGTTAACTCGTAATAGTTCAAGCATATCAAACGACGTGTTTACGTACATACACACATATTGATTGCGATTTTTGGCTTACTTGCTCATGAGCATGTATATTTTCACATTCTATGACGTAATGTGGTCTGTTATGTTTATACACATAGTAAACTATGTGTGTCTGAGATATACCGGGTTTTTCACAGAGCTGGCGACAACCCTTTGAACTAAAAGGTAGTGTAGTAAGAAAAATCAACTGTCAAGTTATGGACCAATAAAGATTTATACCTGACTCAAGGTTTCTGATGACGAAGTGTGATACTGATTGGTGTTTTGTATTTGTCACGTGAAATTGGTAGATTTTTACAAAGACAAAAAACACAAAGCTATATCAGTTAGTTTTTGACTTCACGAGACAACTGGAGAGTAAAAATCAAATTTCAGCAGGGGAAGAAACGCTGGACGTGGATAGAATAATTATTGCGGAAATCATTTAACTACACCATATGACAAACCCTCATGCGGAATCCTCAATACCAAATGAAGAGAGAAAGACCAAGGAATACTGAGAATTGCAATCAGACTTCAAAACCATCTACAATAGTTGGGTAAGATTAGAAAGGAAGGCAAAGGTGAGAGTCGGTTGGAGAATGCTAGTCGGCGGCATTTTTTCTTCATTAGAGTTAACAGATTTAAACAAATTACTTCAGTTATCTAGTTATTCCGATAATATATTATCATTTTTTCTAATAAATGTGACTTATCGCCATTTAATTGTCTCACCATTGTTCAATATTCAATAGTTAAATTGAGAAAAGTACAATATAAAACATACTTCTACTGGTAATAATTTCTTCAGCAAATCTAAAATAATTTTGAAAAAATTAAATCATATTTATTTAATTATCTTGTGAGGAAACATAATTTATTGATTTGTTGAACGTTTAATTGACTACTGAACGATTTTTAAAACATTAAAACAAATTTAACTGATAATTACATTAGAAATATTGTGATCAGTTAGTGTTTTGAGTTAGTTGTAGGAAGTTGTCTTGATGAATCCTGGTTCTTTACTTATTGCACAACTACATCTTGCTAATAAGTGTCGAAATAGCACTAACACTCAGATCTAGGATTTTCCTGTTGACTACCTCGAACCCATCAGCTGACATCTCAACATAATGCACCGCATTATCGAGTCACCTAGATTAGTCGCCATGTTGCAACCTGATGGACAAAATTCTATTAACACTAAGAAGAACCTGATATGTATATGACATAGGTCACAACCAACTAATCGATCAATTGCGAATATATCGCGATCTTACAGGAGTTCGTTTGTAGCCTGTCCAGTTCATTGTTAGTGTCTCTGACTTTGACGCTGGATGAGTGATACAGGGCCTGAAATTCTTAAGATTACAGGTACTCCATGTTGATGAGTGCAAAATAATACGAAACCTTAGTTCAGCATTTCATATTGATAACCTCCATCCAGCACTTTATATCATGCTACAATTATCAACAATCAACGATTTGACAACAATCTTTAATCTTGAAAATTTAATATTAATTGATAAGATTTTGGCGGATCATTTGATTTCATTAATTGAAAATGTGATTAAATGATGAATAATTGAACTCTGAGAAAAGCAGAAATCTCAAAGCTAACAACATACTGCAGATTGGATGTAAGGAGAAGAATTTGACAATAATTGTCATCATTCGTCATTACTCACTTTTGTCTATGACAAGAGAAATAAAGTATTTATTTATTTTGTTGAGTAGAAAATAGTCAGTACACGAAAAATTAGGTTTCAAATAATGTATAGTTATATTATTTTTAACTAAATAGAAAATCGGAAGCATTGGATGGCCGTTTCGTCTTGGTATGGGACTTATCAGCAATGCGCATCTACATTGGAATCATAAAATCAATGATCTCCATAACTCTAATTGAAAAATCGAATAGTGGTGGTCACTCATGACTAGTCTCGTGAGGAAATTATCGAAGCTTTTGTGCAGCTTAACCTTGTCGGATAACAAATGGGTGAGGTCACGCGAAAAATCCTCAGATAGATCAAAGGTAAACATTCACACCGGCTCAGTGGTTCAAAGGCTGGGCATTCACGTGCAAAATTGAAGGTTTCGTGTTCGAATCCTGCAAGTGGCAGGAGTCGTGAATGCCCACTGCTGATGAGTCCTATACCAGGACAAAACGGAAGTCCAATGCTTCCAAGTTTCGGTTCGTGATAGTCTAACAGTGTATAAAAACAATGATCTCTGTAACTGTAATTGATAAATAAAGTGTTTTTGAAATTGATATCTCAGATAACACAATACAATTCAGTATATAAATTTAGGTAGGTGTTCATGAAAGAACCAAACACTGTTCGGGTGTTGACGCTATGTCCTGTTGTGGTGTGTGCTACTTATACGAACGATATAAGTAGTATAAGAAGTGACGTGAAAGAAGAAGTCTCACGGTCAGAAGAGGAAAACGGAAAGCAAATGGAGAAAAAGCAGGAAGTAAATGGAGTACCAACAGGAAGTAAAGGAAGCAACAGCAGGAACTGAAGAAGGATGGAGCGTTGGAAGTCACAACTCAAAGATGGTGTGCAAATAGAGTATTCAATGTAATGTTTTCGTTTTTAATTCACTAAGAGTGTAATTTCGCATGACACAATCTTCTCACTGTAGTACACAGAATTACATTATTAAATAAAAAGAATATATTGTCAAATTATATTTTACATACCCCAATAATGTCATCAAATGTTTTCGAGTACTTTGTGTATGATTTTTTGGAATGTAAATACTACCATCCGGACTTTCTATTGCTATAATATACTTAAAATGTAGCCAGTTATTTGAAGGTAATTCAAGTTTGTCTTTTAAACCATCCAATAAAATCTGTATGTCATTGTTTTCTGTTTCCTAAAAATAATAAATATAAATGTGAAAAGACAACTAAAAATTGAAATTGATTTTCAAGATGACCCTGGATGATGGTCACACAATATTGCGGATTCATTCAAGTTAGACATTAATACTGTTGGATTTCAGCTGAGTGGTCAACAGATTTTTGCGTTCATGTGCAACAGTGACGGTCCTGGGTTCAGTTCCTATTTTTGTGGATGTGGATGCGTACAAATGATATGTCTTATACTAGGGCAAGACATCCTTCCATGGCATTCAAGTTTCTAATAGTAGTCTAACATTCATCGATTCATGATTTCGATGAACATCAAGACATCTTACTTTCGCCTGTTACCCCCAATGGAGCATAGGCCGCCCACCAGTTTTCTCCAACCAACTCTGTCCTGGGCTTCCCTCTGTAGTTTTCACACTTGCTGAGATCGCCTTTCTTTGGTATTTTGATGAGGTATCCTTCTTTCCAATCTGATGGTACTTGTTCCTCATCCCAAATCTTCTTGAAGAGAATGTGAAATACTTTCGCAGTTGCTTCTACATCTGCTTTCATTGCCTCTGCTGGAATGTTGTCTGGTCCTGCTGCTTTGCCGCTCTTGATTTGTCTGATGGCTATACTGATCTCCTCAATCGTAGGTGCGCCAATATTAATTGGGAGGTCCGTGGATGCTGCTTCGATGTTGGGTGGGTTCAGTGGAGCTGGTCGATTCAATAGTTCCTTAAAGTGCTCCACCCACCTATTTCGCTGTTCGTCAGTGTTGCTGATTATTTTCCCTTCCTTGCTTTTCACTGGTCGTTCTGGTTTACGATAGTTTCCGGCGAGCTTCTTTGTAGTTTCGTACAATTGTCTCAAGTTTCCTTCTCTTGCAGCCTTTTCCGCCGTCATTGCTAGATCTTCCACATATTTTCGTTTGTCAGCTCTGATGCTCTTCTTCACTTCCCTGTTTGCTTCTGTATACTCGGCTTGCGCCTTAACTTTCTCTGCTCTTGTTCGGCAGACATTGATAGCTGCCTTCTTGTTCCTCCTTTCTTGAATTTTTTCAAGAGTACCAACAGAGATCCATTCCTTGTGATGGTGCTTCTTGCGACCAAGGACCTCCTGACATATTGAAGTGATTGCCTCTTTAATCCCTTTCCAATTGTTCTCCAATGTTGCTTCCTCTCCATTGAGTAGATCCTGAAAGGCCTGGAACCTATTGGTGAGGGCTATCTTGAATTCGTTGAGTTTTACGGTATCCCGAAGAAAGGCCGTATTAAACTTCTGTGATGTTGTCTGCCCCGTTGTCCAGTGCTTCTTTAGCTTCAGTCTCATTTTGGCGATCAGCAAGTGGTGATCTGAAGCTATATCAGCTCCTCTCTTGGTTCTCACATCCTCCATGGTCCTTCTGAACTTTTTGTTGATACAGATATGGTCAATTTGGTTTTGAGTAGTGTGGTCCGGTGAAATCCATGTGGCTTTGTGAATGCGTTTGTGCGGGAATATTGTGCCACCGATGACCAGTTTGTTGAAGGCACATAGGTTTGCAAATCTCTCACCGTTTTCGTTCCTTTCTCCCAGTCCTTGTCGTCCCACTCCAACTAATCTGATCAATTCATTCTCATATTTCGATACATCTGTTTCCCATTACTATGTTTTCTTATTCTCATGATTACATGGTCCTCCTAAACAAGTCATTTTATCATGAAAACGAATTAATTTATCAACTAGGAAAATACCATCAGTATGTCTTGATGTTAACTCCGCCAGTAGAACCTTAGGGGCTACTGCCGGTCCCAAGCCCGGATAAAGGAGGAGGGTTGGACATGGGGTTGGCGGCCCCATTCCGTTGAAATCTAACTTGCCAAAAAAACGCTAACCAGAAAAAATAATTCAAACCATTTTAACTCTGCCCTGGGAGTTGGAAGAAGAATTATGACGTCTCGTGATGAAAGCCGAGTCCCCTCGGAAGTCACGGGGCCGATGCCTCTTCTGACAACCAGAGCAACCATTTTTTTAGGTACATGGAACGTTCGTACATTGTGGGAGACTGGAAGACTATTTCAAGTTGCGGCAGAAATGAAAAGATACAACCTCGAGCTGCTCGGCATCAGTGAAACACATTGGACACAGGTAGGACAACTGAGACTTGCTTCAGGGGAACTGCTGTTATACTCTGGTCATGAAGAGGAAAACGCTTCACATACACAAGGAGTTGCACTGATGCTGTCCAAACATGCACAAAAGGCACTGATAGGATGTATCGAAATATGAGAATGAATTGATCAGATTAGTTGGTTATTTAGATAGGCGAATATCTCAAATTACAAATGAAATACAGATCGAAATAATCGATTATTATTTAAGCTACTTTTTTAGAATTGAGTAGGCTAACAAAAAAACAGTAAAAAAGCGCTAGAAATCAGTATAACATCACATTTGAGCTGTATTCACAGGGATCGAATTGTCGATTCGAATCCCATAGCAGTAGTAGAGGTAGCAGCAGCATTAGCACTAATCAGAGAGATTAAGGTTCGAAGATATTATTCAAGAAGTAGAATTTAGTGAGATAAACTTATCAAGAAAAAGATAAAGGCGATGAGAAATTCAGATTTGAATTTCAGAGAACACAAAGAATGGATTCACCTGTACAATTGCAAACGGTTTTGAGTCATTTCATTCAGGGTCTCTAACCATCGATTACTATCATCTCACAGACCCCAACCAGGTAGTAGTCTACATCTACCAACATGACTCATTTTAGTTGTCAGTGATTTCACGTATTTGTGCCATGTTTTGGTCTGGCCGCGCCTAGTTTTCTTCCAGCCTACTCCTACATCGCAAAACAGTGCTCGACGAGGCAGTCGGTGGTTAGGCAAACGTAACACATGTCCCAACCACCTCAACTGATTCAGTGAATGAATGAATCATTGTTATGAATTGACTACAATAGTCAGTCGAATTCCATTCCACTCATGGAAGCTCATTGATAATGAGTCGCATATGAAGACGAAACAGCCATCCAGTACTTCAAGATATGCAACAGTATTCCAACATGGATTGATTCATGATTTCAATGAAATTCAACAATTTCCACAAATCTTTTTTACTAACTATTTACATACTGATTGCCAATTCATTTAGAACCTAAATTCATCTTGTGCGGATCACAGTGTGTCTATGTTAGGATATTCATCTAATATCCTAAGAGAATTATTGGTCAATTCCTACTGGTTAATTCCTACTGGTCAATTTTATGGTCGTCCTAGATACCAATGTTGCGTGCTCCAATATTATTTCTTATTGGTTGTCCTGACTATCAGTGTCACTCCAAATGTTGCTTCCTATTGGTAGACTTAACTGTCAATGTCACAGACTTCGATGGTGTTTCCTATTCGACCAAAATGTATAAATACGCGCATTATCTGTAAAGTTTCATGAGCACGACCAGGACAAGGATTCTGTCCCGGATCCCTAGTCCGGGATCCTGATTCTCTTCTAGATTCGGACCTCGTACTTTCTGGATGCATGTAGAATACAGGTTCTACTTCATACCAAGTCTTGTCTTCTTACTTTAACTAAATATAGGGGTTGGGATAATCAGATTTGAGTAGCATGTCGCATCGCCGGATCCTCGATCCTCGCTCTCGCGTTTCCGACTAGGTAAACTCGTAATAGTTCAAGCATATCAAAATGACGTGATAACGTGCAGGCGTAACAGTCTACTAATCTAAGTGACATGAAATCTTGATTCAGAAAGACATTTTCAAATAATCAACTTACAGGTTTTTGTGTCTCTTGTTCTTGAAGTTGTACTGTGGTTAAATTATCGCCGTCAATATTTATTTCTTCCCTATAAGTAACAAAATAGATAAGCAAATTTATAAACTGAAGCTACTGATTATTCAAAAATGTTTGAAATATAAATTCATCGTAGTACTTTTGAATAATTTTGTTCTTACTACATATCGTCTAGCAACATGTGGGACTCATCAACAATGCGCATGATAGCGCGGATAGGCAAAGCAAGGGCTTCATTTCTACAGTTGAAAAATATCTGCAACTCCAAACAAATATCAATCAACACTAAAATCAAGATTTTCATTACAAATGTCAAGACAGTTCTACTGTATGGAGCGGAAACTTGGAGAACTACCAAAGCCATCATCCAGATGATACAAGTGTTTATGAACAGTTGTCTACGCAAAATACTTCGTATTCGTTGGCTAGACACTATCAGCAACAACGTACTGTTGGAGAGAACAAACCAGACAGATTCCAGTGGAGAGAAAATCAGGAAGAAGTGGTGGAAGTGGATAGGACACACACTAAGAAAAGCACCTAACTGCGTCACAAGACAAGCCCTCACTTGGAACCCTCAAGGCAAAAGGAAAAGAGGAAGGCCAAGGAACACAGTACTCTGAGAAATAGAGAAAGATATGAGAGGAATGAACAAACATTGGATAGAACTGAAGAGGGAAGCCCAGGACAGAGTTCGTTGGAGAAAACTGGTGGGCGGCCTATGCTCCATTGGGGGTGACAGGCGCAATTAAGTAAAGTAAGTAACAGTGAGCAGCCAGTGGCTAAAGGTTCGCGCGCAAAAATGAAGGTCCTCGATTTAAATCCTGTGAATGGCAACAGTCATGGATGTGCACTGCTGATAAATAGTACTATACCAGGATGAAAAGGCTCTCCAGTTCTTCCAGGTTTCTTCTAATGGTGGTCTAACATTGATATCGATTTATGATTTCAAAAAATAATATTTAAAAAATGTATCATTCTGTTAGTTATGATAAAACCGTGAATTGATGGAAGTTAGACATTAACACCGTTAGATGACGGCCCAGTGGTCCAGAGGTTAGGCGTTCACGAGAAAGAATGAAGGTACTGGGTTCGGACCCTCCAAGGAGCAGGAATCGTGGTTGCGTACTGCTGATGAGTCCCCTACCAGGACGAAGCGGCTGTCCAGTATTCCAGGTTTTTAATGATGGTCTAACTTTGATCGATTCATGATCTCGAAACGTTTAGTACTTAAATTAAATTAGAAACAGGGAGTGACTAGAAATTTTGAATCGGATTTAATCAACCAGTAATAATGAAATACAAAGTTATGTTATTATGATGTGCGATTTCTGATAATTACATAATACACATTGAAATCATCAATCAATCATTGTTAGACCTGGGAGAAGCACTGAATGGCCGTTTCACCCTGGTGTGGGACTCATCAGCAGTGCACATCCATAGGTTAAGCATTTGCACGCAAGACTGAAGGTCTAGAATTTAAATCACGCAAGTAGCTGGAGTCATAGATGCACACTTCTGATGAGCCCCATACCCCTTTGTGTCTATTTGAACTTTTATTGAATCGACCTTTAATTAAGTTTGATATCAAATTGCCTTGACAAGTTGTGCATATATGTGTGAACAGATTGTTCGATCTTGTATAATGCAAATATTTGTTACAACAGTTTTACAGATCAATTGGACGCTTTCTTCTCATTGTTATTTTATCAAAATTCATAGAAAGTAACTTACTGATTTTAAGCTGTTATCGTCTAATAAGAGAAAACAGGTTCACATGCGATGAATACAATTAATTCTTATATTCTAACTAAAATATCAATCGCCACACAGAATACACTAACATCTAGTTGAATAAGAATGTAGGAAATAACACTAGAAGTGGATAGGACCCACACATGAAGGCAATCATTATCAGATTATGTGACAAGGCGAAGTCCAACTTGAACTCTTCAAAGTAAGACGATACAAGGTAGAATAAAGAACACAATGGACTGGAAGTTTGAGGTAGGCATCAAAACAAGTGTATAGCACCTAGAAATTATTAGGAAGTTGAGTTCAGGAGATCGTTGGTTAGAGAATCTTTGTCGGTGGCTTGTACTCCATGAGGGGTGACAGGCGTAATTTAGTAAGTGAGTAAGTAAGTCAGATGCAACGTAGAACTTTGTACGTAAGTACATCAGTTCATGTTGCCATACCACATCAGCACAGAGAAGTAATTGTCAATTCAAACCCAATAGTAAAAGAGGTAGTAAAGGTATTAGAAGTAATCGGAGAGGTTAGGGGTATAAGATACTATTCAAGAAGTATGATTCATTGAGATAAGTTTAGAGAGTCGAAACTACAGGTGTTGAAGAATCCAGAAGATTAGGATTTGAGAGAACACAAAGCATAAATGCACCGGCGCCACTGCGAACGATTTTGAGCCATGTCATTCAAGGTCTCTAACCATCGATTATTATCATCTCGCGGACCCGAAACTGGTAGTCGATAACTACCGACATGGCTCAGTCCACTAGTCAATGACTTCATGGATTTCTGCCGTGTTTTGGTCTGGCCGCCCCTAACTTTCTTCCAACCTACTCCGACACTACAAAACAAAGTTCGACGAGGCAGTCGGTGGTTGGGCATACGTAACACATGTCCCAACCACCTCAACTGGTGAAGTTTCAACACTTCATCGATTGATCTGCCATTCTTACCTAGCACCCGATTCCTAATAACAGCGTTGCTCACTCGGGTGTCCCACGATATACGAGCGATGCTTCGAAGACACCTATAGTCGAAAACTAGTAACCTACGAATATCTACTACTCTCACTGGCCATGTTTCACAGTCATAAAGTAGGACGGAGCGAACTACTGCACAGTACACTCGTCCTCTGATTAGAGAACGGATATCACGCCTACGCCATAAGTGACGCAGGTTGGCAAAAGCCAATCGAGCCTTCTGTATCCGAGCTGAGATTTCGTCAGTCACCAGGCCATAGGCACTGATGAAACTCCCAAGATAAGTCAAGCGGTCTACACGCTCGACTACTTCACTCCCTATCACTAGTTCAGGTGCCGATGCAACCAAATCTTGAAGCAAGTAAGTAAGTAAGTAAATGAAACCAGTCGTGTTTGCATTTATCACAATAGACTTTTATATATGTTGATATCTACTCTCCTGACTACATAATTTAACAGCAGTGTTCATAACATTCAGTGTACCTCTTCACAAGTAGTACTTGCAGTTTCAACGGCGAATCGCGTTCAGTTGTTATTTCCGAAAGATTCCAACATGTTTTACCGGTCAATAAAACGTGAATAATGCGTCGCATCATAAGTTTATTCAAGTCACACATCATTACACGCAACAGTCAGAAACAAAATGGGCATGTTCTCGACAATTTTAAAATGTGTAATTATACTGATTGAAGTGGTTTCTAACTTTAGTATTGCTGTAACTGACAGTGTATAATATTTGAATAACGTAAATCCACTATCACTCATCAAGTGAGAGAGAAAATTATAAAGAACATTGAGTTTCGTCATATTTGAAACTCGTCAACCAAATATATTCAATTTACACACATCCCGAATTCAACAGGAAACATTTTTTCAATTAGAATTATGAAGATTGGTGATCATACTCATGGAACTCGTCAATCAATCATTGTTAGATCACCATTCAAAACCTGAGAGAAGCTCAGGAGAGACGTTCCGTCCTGGTATGGGACTCATCAGAGGAAATGCGCATCTACGACTCCCGCACAAAAGGAATCGAACTCATGACCTTCGGTCTTTTGCGCGAGAACTCCTAACCTCTGGACCACTGAGCCGGCATTGAAGAGTGTTATTGTCTAACTCTGATCAATTGACAGAGTTCGAGTGACCTCACATATTTATCTTTTGTAGTTACTGCGTACTATCGAACAGAATTGAACTGTACTAGTCACGTCTGCTGACTAGAATTCCGAAAATTTCCTCACGAAGCTAGTAGTCACTAGTGGGATCACATTTTACAATTTTATTCTCCTATTACTTACATAAAATTAGTTGAAGCTGGATGTTCAGCGATGTTAGAATTCCATTGTTCATGATGTAGCGTAGAATCATTTTCTCCAGATCTGAAAATGAAATATTTTGATTTTAAATTATCATTAAAAAAATATTTCCTATTTTTTTTTAATTAAAACTGACTAATTAACCAAAGAGCTCAACTTTATGCTTCTTCATGTGTGACTGAAAAGGAATTCGATCTCTGTGTATTAATTTAGCAATTGAAATTACAATATGATCTTAGCTAGACCCCCCACCGGAAGCCTGGAAGCACTCAGTTGTTTAGTCGTTAGTAGTTCACATGCGAGACCCAAGCTACTGAGTTCGACTCCCGTTTGCGGGGTCACTGATTTTACACTTGAAATGACAATATGATCGTAGCGAGATTACCACTGGAAGCCTGGAAGTATTCGGTGATCCAGAGGTTAGGAGCTCGCGTGCGAGACTTCAGCTCCTGAGTTTGATTCCCATTTGCGGAGTCGTAGATGTGTATTGTCGAGAAGTCCCATGCTAGAACTGATTGAATTTAAAGCTAAGAACTATGTGATTTCGATTTAGAAGCTCACTAATGTCTTGAGTTTAATTTCCGGTAGTCAGCGTGAAACTCAGTTTGACTTATTTTTCGTAATAATTGTCACTTAACAGTATGGTGTACTTATAATCTTGAGAGAATTAATATTCCCTCATGGAGGTGAACTCCGAACATTGTTTTACAATCTGTCTACAATTTTTTGAAGGTCGTTTCAATGAAAATAGTTACTTTAAAATGAAACAAACCAAACCTTGACATACCTAAGAAATTTATGCAACCCTGGTTTCAACATAGTAAACGTTGGAACATATTACAAATATGTTAGGATATTCACCAAATATCCTACGAAGAATCATTTTGCAAATGTAAATTCTATTGGTTAATTCCTACTGATCAATTTTATGGTCGTCCTAGTAGATATCAATGTCACCTACTCCAATGTTGTTTCTTCTATCTTGCCCTAACTATCAATGTCACTTCAAATGTTTTTGTCCTGTTGGTCGCGTTTTCTGTCAATGTTAAAGACTTCTAAGCTGTTTCTTATTCGACCGAAATGTATAAATAGGCATTATCTGTAACGCTTCATAACCCGGACCCGGACACGTTTCCTCAGTCCGAGATGCTGATTCTTTTCTGAACTCAGACCTCGTACTTTCTGGATGCTTGTAGAATACAGGTTCTACTTCATATCAAGTCCTCTCACTCGGATTAAAGTAGCATGTCGTGTCACCGGATCCTCGATCCTCATTCTCGTTATCCGACTAGGTAAACTTGTAATAGTTCAAGCATATCAAACTGACATGTTTACGTGCATGCACAACAAAATGACTAATTATTCTCCGTATCCCCTGTTTTTTCGGAAAGTTTCTATTTCGTTTATATCTTATGTACCCTCAACATTCATTCACTCTCTTTTCTCCATAGTTGAGATCACGAACTCATCTCAGTTGAACCAAGAAGGACTAGAAAGCCGTTTTGTCTTACTTTAGTATTTCTCAACTGTTATAATTGTCCCTTTATTACAACCTAGCTATTCCTAATGCTTAGTATTCTCGGACACCAATTCATTCAAGACGTTCTCCGAAAATCAGAACACGGTTGAACAAGAAATAGTTTATATACCAATAACTGGAATCCAAAGGAAAAAGCCATTAGTATATTTATAGTTTTCTTACATGAAAAGATTCTAGAATGTTCCCTCAGTATCGGTTAGCGCTGATTGGACACAAAAGAGCCAACCAGGATGCAGCAAATCAATCATGCTTTATTCCAGTGTATGTCCCACTAACAACAACAGTGCTCATCAACGACTTCCGCACAAAAGGAATCGAACTCATGACCTTCGGTCTTTTGCGCGAGAACTCCTAACCTCTGGACCACTGAGCCGGCATTGAAGAGTGTTATTGTCTAACTCTGATCAATTGACAGAGTTCGAGTGACCTCACATATTTATCTTTTGTAGTTACTGCGTACTATCGAACAGAATTGAACTGTACTAGTCACGTCTGCTGACTAGAATTCCGAAAATTTCCTCACGAAGCTAGTAGTCACTAGTGGGATCACATTTTACAATTTTATTCTCCTATTACTTACATAAAATTAGTTGAAGCTGGATGTTCAGCGATGTTAGAATTCCATTGTTCATGATGTAGCGTAGAATCATTTTCTCCAGATCTGAAAATGAAATATTTTGATTTTAAATTATCATTAAAAAAATATTTCCTATTTTTTTTTAATTAAAACTGACTAATTAACCAAAGAGCTCAACTTTATGCTTCTTCATGTGTGACTGAAAAGGAATTCGATCTCTGTGTATTAATTTAGCAATTGAAATTACAATATGATCTTAGCTAGACCCCCCACCGGAAGCCTGGAAGCACTCAGTTGTTTAGTCGTTAGTAGTTCACATGCGAGACCCAAGCTACTGAGTTCGACTCCCGTTTGCGAGGTCACTGATTTTACACTTGAAATGACAATATGATCGTAGCGAGATTACCACTGGAAGCCTGGAAGTATTCGGTGATCCAGAGGTTAGGAGCTCGCGTGCGAGACTTCAGCTCCTGAGTTTGATTCCCATTTGCGGAGTCGTAGATGTGTATTGTCGAGAAGTCCCATGCTAGAACTGATTGAATTTAAAGCTAAGAACTATGTGATTTCGATTTAGAAGCTCACTAATGTCTTGAGTTTAATTTCCGGTAGTCAGCGTGAAACTCAGTTTGACTTATTTTTCGTAATAATTGTCACTTAACAGTATGGTGTACTTATAATCTTGAGAGAATTAATATTCCCTCATGGAGGTGAACTCCGAACATTGTTTTACAATCTGTCTACAATTTTTTGAAGGTCGTTTCAATGAAAATAGTTACTTTAAAATGAAACAAACCAAACCTTGACATACCTAAGAAATTTATGCAACCCTGGTTTCAACATAGTAAACATTGGAACATATTACAAATATGTTAGGATATTCACCAAATATCCTACGAAGAATCATTTTGCAAATGTAAATTCTATTGGTTAATTCCTACTGATCAATTTTATGGTCGTCCTAGTAGATATCAATGTCACCTACTCCAATGTTGTTTCTTCTATCTTGCCCTAACTATCAATGTCACTTCAAATGTTTTTGTCCTGTTGGTCGCGTTTTCTGTCAATGTTAAAGACTTCTAAGCTGTTTCTTATTCGACCGAAATGTATAAATAGGCATTATCTGTAACGCTTCATAACCCGGACCCGGACACGTTTCCTCAGTCCGAGATGCTGATTCTTTTCTGAACTCAGACCTCGTACTTTCTGGATGCTTGTAGAATACAGGTTCTACTTCATATCAAGTCCTCTCACTCGGATTAAAGTAGCATGTCGTGTCACCGGATCCTCGATCCTCATTCTCGTTATCCGACTAGGTAAACTTGTAATAGTTCAAGCATATCAAACTGACATGTTTACGTGCATGCACAACAAAATGACTAATTATTCTCCGTATCCCCTGTTTTTTCGGAAAGTTTCTATTTCGTTTATATCTTATGTACCCTCAACATTCATTCACTCTCTTTTCTCCATAGTTGAGATCACGAACTCATCTCAGTTGAACCAAGAAGGACTAGAAAGCCGTTTTGTCTTACTTTAGTATTTCTCAACTGTTATAATTGTCCCTTTATTACAACCCAGCTATTCCTAATGCTTAGTATTCTCGGACACCAATTCATTCAAGACGTTCTCCGAAAATCAGAACACGGTTGAACAAGAAATAGTTTATATACCAATAACTGGAATCCAAAGGAAAAAGCCATTAGTATATTTATAGTTTTCTTACATGAAAAGATTCTAGAATGTTCCCTCAGTATCGGTTAGCGCTGATTGGACACAAAAGAGCCAACCAGGATGCAGCAAATCAATCATGCTTTATTCCAGTGTATGTCCCACTAACAACAACAGTGCTCATCAACGACTTCCGCACAAAAGGAATCGAACTCATGACCTTCGGTCTTTTGCGCGAGAACTCCTAACCTCTGGACCACTGAGCCGGCATTGAAGAGTGTTATTGTCTAACTCTGATCAATTGACAGAGTTCGAGTGACCTCACATATTTATCTTTTGTAGTTACTGCGTACTATCGAACAGAATTGAACTGTACTAGTCACGTCTGCTGACTAGAATTCCGAAAATTTCCTCACGAAGCTAGTAGTCACTAGTGGGATCACATTTTACAATTTTATTCTCCTATTACTTACATAAAATTAGTTGAAGCTGGATGTTCAGCGATGTTAGAATTCCATTGTTCATGTTGTAGCGTAGAATTATTTTCTCCAGATCTGAAAATGAAATATTTTGATTTTAAATTATCATTAAAAAAATATTTCCTATTTTTTTTTAATTAAAACTGACTAATTAACCAAAGAGCTCAACTTTATGCTTCTTCATGTGTGACTGAAAAGGAATTCGATCTCTGTGTATTAATTTAGCAATTGAAATTACAATATGATCTTAGCTAGACCCCCCACCGGAAGCCTGGAAGCACTCAGTTGTTTAGTCGTTAGTAGTTCACATGCGAGACCCAAGCTACTGAGTTCGACTCCCGTTTGCGGGGTCACTGATTTTACACTTGAAATGACAATATGATCGTAGCGAGATTACCACTGGAAGCCTGGAAGTATTCGGTGATCCAGAGGTTAGGAGCTCGCGTGCGAGACTTCAGCTCCTGAGTTTGATTCCCATTTGCGGAGTCGTAGATGTGTATTGTCGAGAAGTCCCATGCTAGAACTGATTGAATTTAAAGCTAAGAACTATGTGATTTCGATTTAGAAGCTCACTAATGTCTTGAGTTTAATTTCCGGTAGTCAGCGTGAAACTCAGTTTGACTTATTTTTCGTAATAATTGTCACTTAACAGTATGGTGTACTTATAATCTTGAGAGAATTAATATTCCCTCATGGAGGTGAACTCCGAACATTGTTTTACAATCTGTCTACAATTTTTTGAAGGTCGTTTCAATGAAAATAGTTACTTTAAAATGAAACAAACCAAACCTTGACATACCTAAGAAATTTATGCAACCCTGGTTTCAACATAGTAAACATTGGAACATATTACAAATATGTTAGGATATTCACCAAATATCCTACGAAGAATCATTTTGCAAATGTAAATTCTATTGGTTAATTCCTACTGATCAATTTTATGGTCGTCCTAGTAGATATCAATGTCACCTACTCCAATGTTGTTTCTTCTATCTTGCCCTAACTATCAATGTCACTTCAAATGTTTTTGTCCTGTTGGTCGCGTTTTCTGTCAATGTTAAAGACTTCTAAGCTGTTTCTTATTCGACCGAAATGTATAAATAGGCATTATCTGTAACGCTTTATAACCCGGACCCGAACATGTGTCCTCAGTCCGAGATGCTAATTCTCTTCTGAACTCAGACCTCGTACTTTCTGGATGCTTGTAGAATATAGGTTCTACTTCATATCAAGTCTTCTCACTCGGATTAAAGTAGCATGTCGTATTGTCGGATTCTCGATCCTCACTCTCGTTTTCCGACTAGGTAAACTCGTAATAGTTCAAGCATATCAAACTGACATGTTTACGTGCATGCACAACAAAATGACTAATTATTCTCCGTATCCCCTGTTTTTTTTTGGAAAGTTTCTATTCCGTTTATATCTTATGTACCCTCAACATTCTTATAAAAATTTCATTCATTCTCTTTTCTCCATAGTTGAGATCACGAACTCATCTCAGTTGAACCAAGAAGGACCAAGAAAGCCGTTTTGTCTTACTTTAGTATTTCTCAACTGTTATAATTCTCCCTTTATTACAGTCCAGCTATTCTTAATGCTTAGTATTCTCGGACACCAATTCATCGAAGACGTTCTCCAAAAATCAGAACACGGTTGAACAAGAAATAGTTTATATACCAATAACTGGAATCCAAAGGTAAAAGCCATTAGTATATTTATAGTTTTCTTAAATGAAAAGATTCTAAAATGTTCCCTCAGTATCGGCTCGCCTTGATTGTATACGAAAGAGCCAGTCAACGTGCAGCAACGCAATCATGCTTTAGTCCAATCTATGTCCCACTAACAACAATAGTGCTCATCAACGACTTCCCTGCACACGAATCGAATCTGGGAATTTCAGTCTTGAAGAAGAAAACCTTACCCTCTAGACCACTGAATTCGTACCCAGTGATATTAATGCCTGTTTAACTTCAATCAGCTTATGAATATGAGCAACTGTCATTCATTTTCTTCGGTGTATAACTGTATCCACTGATCATCAATATAAAATTCATCAGTTTAATAGCTATACACCTCAACTATTTAACACCTCAGCAAAAAATTTAATCACTTCACTAAATATCCATCAACAATTGATTTTTCTCAATCGTTTACATTTATCCCGACCGTAGCTGCTACCTTGATGTGGTGGTCAGGCTTGCCTATCGTGAAGGCCCAACTGAGCTATATTGGCTGAAACATATGTTCCTGCAGGTTCTACCATGCCAGACAGGTCGATTGGAGAACGATGAGACTAAAAGCAGCTACTCAAGGTCTGAGGGCGAAGTCGTACTGCAGACTATAGAGAGGTGGGACAGCAGTAAGGTTTTTCCCTCGGACAGCCAACATCTGCACTGATGCTTTTGCCTTATCACAAGGAAGGAAGTGTTAGAAAAAGTCGACCCTAAAAATTTCACACCTCACCCTACCTCACGGATTTCCGTCTCCGGTAGTAAGAGCTGCCCAGTAAGGGCTTTTAAGAGCCGAGCTAATACTCAATAAACCTTTCATAAAAAGACCGTGCGTGACCGGCCTCAAGCAGTTGTCATTTGGACTCTGTGGTCACGCTCTCAGGTCTCTAAGAACGACACTAATATACCTTCCTTTTTAGGTTTCTGAAGAAACACCCTTCCATGGTGTGGGCAGCCGGGAAGGTACATCCACCGTCATACCCATAAAAGCACACGAGACCGAATCGGTCACAATCAAATCCTTTCTACACCTCTTAATAACTCTCTTATCTCCTGTCTACATTTATCTCAAAGTTTACTACGTAATTATATAGAATAAGCAACTATAAATTGGTTGAAACGATTTGGTACGTATACAGATTAGTTCAGTTGGAATACTGTATTTTCCATAGAGTGATACGTAAGTCTTCATCAATGTGATCTTTAAATCCTGTGTTCCATCCCTAGTTGAGTTGTTGGTATACTGCCTTATCAAAATAATCTGTGGAATATACAACTTATGAATTTTCATATTGAGACCTTCACATTAAGTAAATTGATCAAGTTTCACTTTTTTCGCATACTTTGCGCATATTGTACATTTAACAGAAAGAAATTAGACTTACATAGCACTAACTGTAGACAAGTTCCCTGAAACAATCGAATCCCATTCTTCTCTTACAGTTCTAACAAGATCTTCTGAACTACAAGTTTAGACATCAAATGTGATACTTGTGAATGATTATACAAACAAAATTTGAATTTCATTTAAATATATTGATCGAGTCTGGAAAACCTTGTCGGGTGTAGGCAGTAAAATCTCTCAATTGATCAGAGTAAGACAAGAACACTCTTCGATTCCGGCTCAGTGGTCCAGAGGTTAGGCGTTCACGCACAAGAGTGAAGGTCATGAGTTCGAACCCTGGGAGGTGCAGGAGTCGTGGGTTCGCACTGCTGATGAGTCCCGTTTACTAGGACAAAACGGCTGTCCAGTGCCTCTTCCAGGTTTCTAAATTACTTTTACGAGCTGGGTTTCTAAGGGATGTGGTCGCAAACCCCCTATGTGGTGCGCGCTACGTATAAGTAGTATATGACGCGAGTGTAAACTTAATGTCTGGCAGCAGGAGATGGGGGTAGATCAAGAAAGGAAGAGTGAGAACACAATGGAATTTCTATGAAACGCATGAACAACAGTGAAATGTCAGACAATGGATTGATGATGGATTGAAGATTTGCAAATTAACGGTTGACGATATGGTTTTCCTATTTTACTGAGTAACTCTGTAATTTTCGTTAAATACAATTCGGTTGCCCTCACCTGTGTTCTCCTTCACTACACCTAAACCTAACTCTCTTCCTTTATCTGGGCTTATGACGGACATTAACCCCATGAAGGACTGCCGGGCAGAGTCATGGAATAACTAATAATCATATTTGTTCAAAATGAGTTTATGTAAGGAATAACAATACATAAAGGTGTCTATTGAAGATATCGATTAAACGAATTCAAGGGAGAAACAATGGCAGTCAGTTTCGTTTATTTATCAATTAAAAACTTTGATCTTAAAAAGGTCAGATTTTACAGTTTAAATCAAATTTATAAAAAATTCATAAAATATTTTATGCCTACTTATATAATTCAGTGGAATTTTCGATAACATAATGATTGGAATTTTCAGTTTCAACTGCGTACGTTTCCCTAAGTTAAAAACGAATTAGGATGATAATGAAGCAAAGTGATCATTGATAGTAAAAGTAAACATGTGATTGGT